ACCTTCTTGACCTTTGGATCCTTTAGAACCTTTTTGACCTTTAGGATCTTTGTTACCTTTAGGACCTTTTGGACCTTCTCCACCTTTAGGACCTCCAGTACTTTTGGCACACATAGAACATTCAGGACCTACTTGACCTTTGGGACTTTTGGAACATTTGGGACCTTCTTGACCTGATTTTTATTATGTTCAGAAACTCGTTCCTTCCTGTTGAAACTCTCTGACGAGGCCAACGTCGAGGATTTATGGTTTAAAGCTTTTGATCGTTTCCTCCTTCCGCAGATCTCGACTCCTTAAACGCGACAGATCGTTTTGTTACATTAAAGATTAAACGTGACAGATTTGACGATTAATGCTGCTTCACTTCTCGTCTGTTCGTTCTCACGTCAAACCCAACAACAAAAACATTTTAAAGCTCTGTTAAAATATTTAAATGGTAGATTTAAGCCTATTTTTATTTGACTTTATTTGACTTTTTTAATTTTACAACTGGCAAATAAAAATTCAGAACATTTGGGCTCCTCCTCAAAGAATGTGTGTTTAAAGGGATATTCTGTGCATTTTGAAGTGAACTTCATTCGTGAAATTTGAATTTTTAAAGCTCCTTTTTGTACAACGATCGAACACAAGAGGATTCAAACCGTACAGAATCAAAACAAAGCAACAAAAACAGAAACAAGATGTAAAAGAAAAGAAGCAGAATTGGCTCATTCAACCTTTATTTATCCAGGTTAGTCCCATTGAGCCTCGGGAACTAAAAGGGGGGAAAGAACGTAGCCCTGAGGAGAGCCAGTAGAGGACAGGAGCACATCATAACAAAGTGAGCTACAGATTTACATTTTGGTGTGTGGCTACATCGAGACATAAGAAAAGATCACTATCAAAAATCAGGCTACTATATCAAAATCCAAGATGGCCGCCACCATATTTATATGTAAAGCGGCAGCCCCCGTCCTTTGAGGAAACGGTGCTTTCTAGTTTTTACGTTGGGTTGTCGAAGATTAATCTGGAGGCTGAAAGGCTGAGCTTCAAGGTAAACAGTTTCATCATTTGCTGCTCAGTTTTACAAATTTGGAGCTAAACTGTGGTGTGGTAGTAGCTGAGAGTCATCCTCAACCACACCCTGAGCTCTAACTGATGACACAACGAACTTTGTCGACGACGTTTCTTTGAGAAAACTCAATAAAATCTCGTCAAACTTGAAATCGTCAAACCAAAACGTTTGTCTCCGTCTACACCAATAAAGTTTATTTTTCAAAGAGCCGAATTTAGCAGAAAGGTTTGGAAGATTGAGACGTTTTCCTCCAGAGCCGACTGAAGCGAGTGATGTTATTTACAGAAAGCTTTCTCTCTGATCTTGATTATTTTTAGAAACCACTCTTCCGTCTAAGCTAAAAAAAGAACAAACTGCTGCCGCAGCTCGTCTGAACGGCCTTCAGGTCGCTCGTCGCATCAGGACCGCCAGGTCAGACACGACGTCCAGACAGCACGAAGAACAACGTCTGAAACATCTCTGCTTGTTTCTCCACCAGTGAGGCGAAGCTCATGTGGGACCAGGACTTTGGTTTTTAGACTTCCTGATGTGGATCAGCTGATCAGAACCTGCCGAAGCAGGCTGACGTGTTCGGCTGTTGCACCTGCTGAAGTGATGATTTTAGAAAAACTCGTTTAATTTTCAGAAGGTTACACTCAGAAGACAAAAATGCAGTGTGAATGCTGAAGAACTTGCTGAAAAACAGCTGAAATTAGCACAAAAAAATAGCTGAAATGTGGCTGAAACGGGCGAACAAGCCTAAATTAGCAGAATGAAGCAGAAAGAACAATTTTTTTGCTGAATTAG